GAGTAACACTGGCTTTGGGCCGGTCTGGCTGAGCTCAGCGCCTGCTCCCAGCCCCCTCCTCCCCTCCCCCTCCCTCCCTTTCTGGGTTATTCTTAGCAAGAAGTGACCTCAGAGTGCTCCCACTGAGCAAAAATAACCCTGGAGGAAGTTGATGAGTATAAATCTTCAATGAATAAGTGCATCTACCTAGTAAACAGGGCAGTCCCCAAAGGACCAGCCCCCCACCAGGGTCTGGTGGGCAAGGGCGGATACTGTCCCTCCTAGAGCCCCAGGTGTAACCAACACGAGGGACAAAGTTGGTCGCAGGGCTGTCTGGGCCTGCGATCAGGCAGGAACCAGCTTCAGACACCCTCACTTGTTACTCTCAACGTCCTCGGAGCCGGAGAACAGGAAGATGCCTCTTCCTCCCAACCTGACACTTGCACCCACACGTGTGCCTCCGCTCTGGGGCCAGCAGCGACCAGCCCCACATGGTGCTGTCCCCTCTGCGGGCCATGAGAACTGGCCAGCCAGCAGGCCTTGCACGCAGGTGCCAGCTCCCCTCCGAGGCCCCGCCCAGCCCTGTGGCTGGCTTCCTGTTTCCTGTTGCCGCGGGGGCCATGAGCATCCTGACTCCTAGGCCAGTGCCACAGACCAACACCGCCGCCTGGTTGAAATGGGCCCACCTCTTACTCCTCAGACCACCCTTCCCCGCTTTGCCACAGGCTCTCTAGTATGTGGGTCAATCACCCTGCTCAGTTCTGTTTCCTCTGGGTGCTTTTTAGACCAGGTCTACACATGTTTTCAAACAGCCCAGCCTTTGTATATTATCTTAAAGCAAATTTAGGGTACCCAGTCTCCCAGGTGGTGAGACTGGAGTGGCAAGGGAGGATGAGCACCCCGGGCTTTGCAGTTGGGAGGTTGGAGGCCAAGTCTAGGTCATCATCTCTGAACCTTGGTCTCTTCCTCTGACTGTGGGGACTGTCATGACAGCAGCCCCCACCTCCCCATACAGGTCTGTTGCCAGCATCAAATGAGGTCCACGGAGGTAGAAGGCCTTTGTAGGCAGTCAAGCTCTGTGCCACTCTCAGCTTTTCTTCAGGGCTGCCAGTCTCAGTGAGTGGGTACCCAGTGCAAGGGGAAGGGGTGGTACACCTCTGGAATGGAAGATCTAATGGAAGCAACATGCTCTCACTACAAGCTTTTCTATGCAAAAAGCCAGGCTTTGGTTTAGGTATCTTAGATTCCCAATCCACCAGGGAACAATACTTCCATAAAACACAAAATCGTGCCTGTGGATGTGGTGACAGTATCAAGTTGATATAAAGGTTTCTAAACTCTGATTCTCAAGTTCTGTGCAGATGGGGGAACAAACAGCTCAGACTGGTGCCTCTCCATCAGGTGTGCAGACCCAGGTCCGGGATCACAGGGCTGTTATCTTGTCTTAGTTCTTAGTGTTCATTTTAACAATTGGTTTAAAAGGGAGGGCCAGCGTGGCTCACGATGGCTGCCCCGGGCTTCATTTGCAAGACAGGCTTCGGTGGGCTGTGACACCGAGTGGGCAGAGAGCAGGTAAGGCTGCCAAGAACATCAGAACAAATGTGCCCAGGGTGCTCAGGGAGCAGCAAGCAGACGGGGTTTCTTTGGTAAAAGAGGTGGATGCTGAGCACCCATGCAGAAGCAGGAGAAGTCACATGGTGAGGAGCCAAACGGAGTGTTCCAGGTCTCATCCCATGAGAAATGGAGCCCCTGGAGATTTTTTTTTTTTAATATTTAAGTTTTAGCTGCACTGGGTCTTCACTGCTGTGCACAGGCTTTCTCTATTTGCAGCAAACAAGGGCTGCTCTTCACTGTGGTGCCCAGGCTTCTCACTGCAGTGGCTTCTCCTGTTGGGGAGCACAGGCTCTAGATACATGGGCTTCAGTAGTTGCAGCACACAGGCTTAACTGCTCCACAGCACGTGGAATCTTCCTGGACCAGGGGTCAAATCCATGTCCCCTGCATTGGCAGGTGGATTCTTAACCACTGGACCACCAGGGAAGTTCCCCTGTAGATTCTTGAACAGTGACGTGCCCCAGGCTGTATCTACTGTAATTACATGTGGTCTCTTCTTGAACACACTAGGTTGAAATAAGTCTTATTTATTTGGCAGGCGCTCAGTTGGTGTAATGTGTTTGTGGCCAAAAAAGAGAGGGTTGGAGGTGTTTAGAGAGATGCTGTGGGCAGGTGGGGCCTGGTCTGGGTGAGGACACAGCCAGGAGGCTGATGCAGGAGAAAGTGGAAGGTACCCAGAGATAGGTAGGCCTTGGGGGCAAAATCCAGAGACCTTGGGTGGGGAATGGCTAGGACATCACTGGATATACCTGATCCCTCCCCGTCCAGCAGTGGGTGTGCAACGTTGGCACAAATCAAGAGCCCGCCTGCAGGCAGGTTTTCCTCTTGTGCTTCCCAGCACTGCCTGCTCTGTTCCACTTGCCAGGGTTTGAGCTGAGCCTACCACTCCCTGCCCGGTTTCCAGGCTTAGCTGGATGACACACACTCAGCTGCCTTAAAGCACCCTGGTGAATCTGTTCTCAGGGTCACAGCTGCACCAGGTCCCCAAAAACCCACCCTGCTGTGCTCCTTGGCTGAAGAGGGGAGGAGGCCTGGGCAAGCATCTGCTCTGCAACAGGCCCAGGAGACCGTGGCCTGGCCCTGGGCTGCAGCACAGACTTCCCCTATGCGGGCTCCCTTCGGTGTCCATGGGGCTGCTGCCAGGAAAGACCGGCTGGCTGTTCTCTGTGCCCTGCAATGTGCAAGGGTCCCTGTCACAACGCTGTCTTGGACCCCCTGCCTCCCCAATCAACATTGCTTCCCTGTGCTCTGTCCCCCTTCCCAGGGCCTCTCTTGGGAGTCCAAGTGGCTTCAGATGTCAGTTAGGACTGGATCACATCAATACTGACCTGCACAGGATGTGCACACCTCCCATGGAGTTCTGAGAGGCTGATGCCAGGCTCCCACATGAAAGGCCTTCTAGACCCTGGCCCACTGGCCCCTATGGGGGCCAGAGGGGCAGGTTTATGACACTGTGCATTTGGAGCCCACCTTGCTGTTTGCACAGCATCCCTGGAGGTGGACAGGACAGGTATGACTGGCAGCCATATTTTTTCCAGTGAGGAAGCAAAAGCTCAGAGAGGTTCAGTAACTTACTAAGGTCACACATCTGGCAAGCAATAAATCCAGCGCTGCTGCTTCTGTTCTGGGTAAGGACAGGACCGACTTTGGCTGACCTCTGGCTCTTTGGTGTTTTAACCCATTTAATTCTCCCAGGGGTCTAGGGGGAATGCATCCTTATCATCTCTATTTTTCAGAAGGGGAACCCAGGATTCAGGCGGTGACTTGTTCAAGGTCACACACGTGGTCAGTGGTGGAGCTGAAATTTAGACCCAGGTCTGCTGGATTTTAAAGACTGCTTTTCCTTCCCTGCTGGGCCCCTGTTCCAGGCCAGGGTGTGTGACCCACTGACCCTTCATCCACTGGTCTGTGCCCCCTCCTTCCCTCTCTTCATCCAACTCTGGACACACACTTGGCCCTGACTTCCTTGACCCACTGGTTCAAGGACCTCCCCCACCTCTCAGTGATGTGCCCTCCCTCTGGTTCCGGGACTCACAAAGATGAGTCAGAGGGCTGCCAGTTCCATTTGCTACAGGTGGTGGCTCCCACCCCTAGCACCGGAAAGTAAGGGCGGAGTGTGCTCTGCAGATCACCAGCACATGCACAGCTCAGATACAGAATGACCGACGGGTTCTCACTCCATCGGCACTGTGCCCCTCCACTTTCCCCTACAAGGTACTCTATCTGGGGGTGGAGTGGAGGGGCACCCAGGAATCTAGAAGTGCAGCCTGGAGTCTGCTGCAAGCTGGAAATTCCTTTGAAGTCCCCAGTTTTATCTTTCAACTACCTGTGCATTTTTCATTCCAGGCCATAAAATATCCATGTTTGCTTGAATATTAAAAGTGCTCAAAATTACTTACCAGTGAAATGACTTAACTTCTGCCCCCTTCCACTCCAAATCTCCAAGCAGCACTGGCAGCAGTACACTTCAGTGCCCCACAGGTTCCCAAACCTCCTGACTCCAAAAACCCCATCACCTCCAATAGGTGTAGCCCTCCCTTCCTCATTGCAGCCACCATTCACCCTACTCTACCCCATGGAGGAAAATCCTGCTCCTCTGAGACATGTTCTTGAAGGGCTGAGTTACAAATGCGGGACTCCTGGCTCCTCCTTACCTTCTTGCTCCAAGTTCCCCATTCTCAGCGGGAAGGGACGAAAAGAAAGGAACCAGCTGTCGTTGGTGCTGGCAAATAACTACTGTTCTGCCTCTGTGTTTAAGGCATAAGGAAGGCAGGCTCCTGCAGCCCCTGGGCCCTGCCCCACAGAGCACTCCTCATCTTGGGCAACCCAGGAGCCTCGCCCTGGATTCCGAGGCAATGGCACCCAGAAGCTGGGGTCCTCCACTTCGACTAGACTGAAAACAGTGCCCAGCCCTCCTTCTCTCTGATAAAGGGACTCATGAGCCTGCATGTCTTCCCTACTCACTTTGATCAGACTTCCAGACCTTAATCCCCTTCCTCCAAGTTCTCCAGGTGGGACGGAGGCCCAAGGTGGATGTCTGGATGGGGAGGGAGGGGCCTGTGCTGGCAGGCCAGGGAAAAACAAGTCCTACCCTCTTGCTGCCCTTCTAGAAAGAAGGTGGGAGTCAGGGGCCTGCTTCAAGTCCCACTAGATCCATAATGCAAGTTCCCTGGCCTCTGGGGGCCTCCAGTTTGATGCAGAAAATAGGAGAGTTGTGAGGGTGGTTTTTGGGTCCAGAGAATGGGGAATGGAATTGACCTCTTAACAACTGGAGGGGTGTACCCCATCCCCAAGTCTTAGTGTGCCCAGGTCCCTGCAGGCCACACATCACGGACATTTAGAGCCTGTATGTGCGGGTACATGTGTGTGCGCGCGCACAGGGCTCGGGGGGACACCACTTCACTCACCGGGGGGTGCTTGCGCTTCCTGCCAGGCCGCCCCACCTTCCGGGCAGTCGTGCTGGGCTCCTGCCGCTCCTCCTTGGCGCGAGCCTCCTCCTGCTCCTCTCCCTCCTGTGGGCACAGACACAGCCTGTAAAGCCAGAGCTGGACCCCCAGAGCCCTCCCCAGCGTCCCACTCATAGGGCAGCCACACTCCCAGGGCGGTGTCATGCTGGCACCCTGGTAGGGATGGTCTTCACCCGCCTCCTGCCTGGCAGAGCTGAGCCACTCCCGCGGGCCGATTTCCGTATATCCTCGGGGGGACCTGTGGGCCGCCCCACTACCCTGGCTGAACACAGCTCTCCCTCAGGTGGACAAGTTTTCTGAACCACAGACTCATCATACAGGCTCTGACAAAAAAGTTGTTTCTGGATATGAGTTTATTTATATGGGAAAAAAAATCTAACACAAGTACAAAAATGAAATTAGCTCTATACTGAATGAATCACCTTTATTGAAGAGAATCCCATGAAGAGACACACGAAACAGTGATGTCTATTGGAAGTGCACGAAATCCTTGGAAGCAGGCTTGTCACAGGCCACACAGGGCGCCACAGCCGCTCTACACTCGCCTGCCCTGAAGCACCTGCCCCATTGCAGTGTCACCCCACAGGAGAGTCCTGGGGACTCTGTCTTAGTTCATTGTGATGCCCCTCTTTTGGTGACTGGGATGGACCAGAAGCTTGGTTTTGTTACCACCCTTCACCTGTGCCAGGGCCAGGCCCTGCAGGGCTTGTCTCGTGGGGCAGACACATAAACCTAGAAAGTCCTCCTGCCTCACTGCTCCAGCCTGGCCACAAACCACCCACAAGTCGCTTCTGACTCAGCGGCTCCATCATGACTAATCACGAGCACAAACTGCGTTGGGGCAGGAGAGAGAACAGGACCCCGACCCAGCAGGGGGCCCACAGGCTGCTCTTTGTGCCCCTGTGTAACGATATCAGCAGCTCTGGGCGGCTTCACGGTCCTCCCAAGGGAGGGCGCTGGCCCAGAACCATGCTGGGGCCACAGAAAAGGGGAGGCACACAGATTCCCAGGGGATTTCATCGAGGTGGCTCTCAATGTCCCACTCAACTTTCATTTTTTGTGATTTCAAAATAGCTTGTGGTTTGCCACATTAATTTTCAGGTGATGGTGAGACATGCGGACGGAAACCTACTGTGACCAGTCGTAGACCTTAGACCGGAGGGAAGAGCAACCCTGGCCCCTCTGTCCATCCATCCATTCCAGGCCCATCTGGGACAGACCCAACCAGGAGGGAGATTTGGGGGCATCACAGTTGAGGTTCTGGGAGTTCTCAGAAGACATGCAAAGAGATGATGACAAAGGCGCCAGGCCTTAGCACCAAGGGGAAAGCTATGGTCGAGTTGGAAGACGGAGAGAGTGTTTAGAAGAGCAGAAAGTGGACACCAGTGTACTGTGGGTGCAAGAAAAAAAAGGGAGCTGCTAACTCAAGAGGCAAAAATTGACAGACACACACACACACACACACACACACACAAATGACAGACACAGAGAAGTCAAGGGCAGCATGATTTGGTTAGGGATGAGAATGGGCAGCCTTTGGAGAAGCTGTGCAGAATGACACAGCAGTGAGGACTGAGGGCCCGGAGAGGGGCTGATGAGACGGTTTGAGGAACCCAGCTGAGAGAGGTCTGGAAGAGAAGCCAAGGGTAGGGAAGCACAGTGCCAGCTGTGGACAGGAGGGGAGGGTCCAGGGCAGAGAGGAAAGGCTACCCTGGGACCAGAGACCCCTGAAAGGCTCTGTTCAGGAAAAACTGGCAGAGAGACTGTGAGGGCAGAAAGGCTGAGGTGGGACACAGCCAGGTGGAGGAGAGGCCTCTGGGGGGGCCTAGGGTGAGTGGGCCAGATCTGCTGGTTCTGAGCTATCTTCCGAGACCCCACAGACACCCTTGTTTAAGAAACAACCACCTGGATCACACAGAGAGCAAGGATTCCCGGTGCAACTTAATGTTTGTGAAGGTTCCAACTGAATCTAACCAAAGGCGGTGAATTTAATCTAAGATGGTGCGTCAGATTCCACAATGGCTAAAAGGGCACTGTCTTGACTGCGCTGACTAGGTAACTCAGCATTCACAGAATAGCCAGCCATAGAAAGGCAGAGCTTAGAGCAAACCTAAATTGGTATGTGCCTGTCTTGTTTGTGTGCTGTTTTCAGGACCATTCTCCCTGAACCTCAGTTGCTTCATCCATAAAATGGGGCCATAAAGGTGTCTGGTGTCCATTCTGCCTGCTTCTGGGGTTTTTAAGAAAGGAGATGAATAAAATGGTTTATCCCCTTGTTGAATTCCCAGAGCCTAGAACAGACTCAGCCCTTGGTGGGTTTTCCACGTGCCCCTCAGATGAGAGGAATGACATCTTCCCTGGAAAAAAGAGGGCCCACCAAGCTCCTGGACTTGCCTACAGAACACAGGCCAGACCTGGCTGAGCCTCTGACTGTTCCTTGTGTCCGGGCTGATGGGCCTAGAAGGCACAGGCAGCAGCCGGGGTGGGGTACCGAGGTCGGTTGCGATCAGTCTGGGCAGCCAAAGGGTCTGGAAGGACTCCCACCACCCAGAAATTCTGGCCTCTGAGCTGTTTCTTTAACACAGTGCATTTCTTACAGGAGGATTCATCTGATTTTCTAACTTTTGCTCTAAATCAGAGGCGTGAAAGCCAGTCAGAGGCTCAGAACAGCACTCAGGAACCACAGTCACTAGGCCGCCTGCACAGACGGAAAACAAAGACACCTGACTTTTAAGGACTACCAGGCACCCCCCCGACCCCGTCAGCATACGGAGAAAGCCTCTGGGGGCCCCTGATAGGCAACCCCCTGCCATCTGGAGACTTGCTGTCATTCCTCACCTTAAGCCACGTGCTCTCGGCCTGATGCACGGAGGCACTCAGCGCATCTTCCCCTGTTGAATTTTATTCAACTCAACACCCCCAAGAGGAAGGGGTGGAGGACCCTGGCACCAGACCATCTGTCCAGTCCTGGCGTTTTGAGAACAGGGAGTCCCTGGGGCCCAAGTAGGCCTTCGCTGCCCAGTCCAACACTCGGGCCTCAGGTACCCTGGGGTGTGCTCAGGAAACTAAGTGGCCATGAGACTTGGCTGGAGTTGCAGCCAGGTCTGAGCGACTCTGGCCTATACCCTTTCCATCCGATCCCACACACAGCTTTGTGAAAAGCGCGCTATTTTTGGTCATGTCATTCTTCCATGATGTAGCGACATAGCAGGGCAGAGGGAGGTGGTGATACCTTCTGCTCTGGGCCTGCCCACGTTCACACCCACAAGGGAGAGGGGATAATACGCTGAGCAGGGTGAGCAGATGGCTTGGGGCCATGCCCCTCAAGGAGGCGTATCAAGTGGTTCATTCCCGCATCTGTCAGGAGGCCTGTTTCATTCAGTATCCCTGCTGATGGGTTGAGCGAAGGAATGTAAAATATGCTTATCAAATCTGCAAGTAGCATTGAGTTAGGAGGCGTCACTAATACTCTGAAAGGGAAGAATCTGATCCGCAGTGACTTGGAGCAGCTGGAAAACAGTAACAAATTGAGCAGAACAAGCTTTGAGCCCAGGTTGGTTTCCTCATCTGTCAAGTGAAGGGACTGGATTAGTCAATCCTTCCAGTGGGAATGGGCAGAAATTCTAGGGAGGTGGGCTTTGTGCGGAGGGGGCAGGGGAGGGGCAGGCTGGACTTTCTGCTCTGCTCTTTCCTCACTAGGCGCTTCCAGCTAGTTAACCTCTCCAGCCTAGCGTTCCACACCTACAAAATGGGGAGACTGATACCTCCACCTCCTTCGCAGCAATCGTAGAGCAATTAACTGAGGTAATATATGGAAAGCTGACATGTGCGAGGCACTCAAGAATTGCTAACTTCCTTTGCTCCGCACGTACGGACCAGAACTATTCCCAGAAGTGCCTCCTCCCCGCCCCCATGCAAATCCCAGCTCACAGCCTGCATATGCAGCCATCACTCACTGCTCAGACAAACCCCAACATCTGGCTGGTACCCGCCGCAGTGCGATCCTCAGGAACACTGGGGCTCCGTGATCTTTCCAAAATGCAAAGCTGATTATGTCACTCCACAGAGCTTAAGCCCTTGTGGAGGGGGCTCCCAGGGCCCTGCGGGATCAGCCCAAGCTCCTTAGCCCGGGTGAAGGCAGGCCCTAGGATTCCAGCCAGCAGCTCCAGCCATTGCAAAACCACCATACCAGGTGCCAATGTGGGCTGCTTCCTCCCTAGGACTTTGACACAGACCCTGGCTTCTGCCACGACTACCTTCCTCTCAGGTTGACCAGCAAACCCTGACTTTTCCAAACTCACCTCCTAGATTCCCTTCCTTCCCCCCCAGGCTCCTCCTCCCATCCCTCCACTGGACTGAGTCTCTGGGTGCTTCCTCTCACAGAGTACCCACTCTCCAACACTGTAACTGACTGCTGCCTCTCCTCCTGGCCAGGCCATGAGCCCCTCCAGGGAAGGAACTCTCTTATTCTCTTTGGCCTCCGTCCCCAATGCCTCCATTCCCTGCACCTGGCGCAGGGCAGGGACTCAAAATACTTGATGAATGACTCTCACGTAGTAGATGCTCAATAAACAAGTCCACACACATACAGAGAGAGACACGTGTGCAAATCCAAAATCTGCACCAGTACAACTGAGCAGGAGGATCACTGCTGCTTGATCATTACAACTGCAAATCAGGAAACAAGGTGACTAAAATGTAGCTTCTCGTCTTAAACATGATCCTGTCACTTCGATTTACGTAACCCTTTACAGGTTTCAAAGCCCCTTCGCATTTGGAGGCCTGTTAGATGAGGCAGTTATCATCAGGCTCTCTCAACTTCTGAGGCTAGGATTTGACCTACATTTTAACACAGCTCACTGGATGGATTATTTTAAGCCACATACAACTTCTCATTCTGAGGAGCTGGGCCATGACGATAATAATCTCTCGCATTTGTACAGTACGTGGTAATTAACAAAGCATTTTCACATACGTTATTTCATTTTATTCTTATGCCTTACAGAAAGTAGAGCTGGTTCTTTTTTTTTTTTTTTTTCCATTAC